TTTTTTGTTTTGTTTTAAGATTTTATTTATTTATTTATTTTTAGAGAGGAGAAGGGAGGGAGGAAGAGAGGGAGAGAAACATCAATGTGTGGTTGCCCCTCACACGCCCCCGACTGGGGACCTGGCCTGCAACCCAGGCATGTGCCCTGACCCGGAATCCAGCCAGCGACCCTTTGGTTCACAGACGGCACTCAATCTACTGAGCCACACCAGCCAGGGCTGGCTCTTACTAGCTCTTAAAAGCTGAATTTTACCAGCCAGTTGTTGAGCACAATTTAAATATATGAAAAGTTAAAAGTTATATTATTGTATAAACTTACCATTAAATCAATCATATTAATAACAAAGATAATAAATACAACTCATTACTTCCTAATTAGTTTACTAGATTTTACTGTTATTTATACTGTTAAGGGTATCTGTCTCTATGGTATGTGTCTGGTCGGAATCCTACAGAATCATGTGCTCCTTAGGCACATCTCATCCAAACAGTGTTCAGTGACTTTACCTTGGCGGTGGGAATCAGCCACGGTGGGAATAGTTATACTACAAATCAACAAACTCTACAAACCAGAATTTGATTTATTGGTTTGTTGTTCATGTAGACCAGGGATTGGCACACTACAAGCCAAATCCAGCCCACCATCTGTTTTTGTAAATAAAGATTTATTGGAACACAACCACACCCATTCATTTGCTTATTGTTCTGTGGCATTTTACACAATTGCAGAGTTGAGTAGTTGCGATGGAGACTCTATGGCCCCCAAAGCTTAAACCATTTACTGCTTGGCCCTCCATGAGAAAAGTTTGTTACTCATTAACAAAAATAAAAATACCAACCAACACTCACAGCAGAACTACATGTGGAGAAATGGGTATTAAACCAGCATATCACTGCCCGAAGGTGCCGCGCCCATTCAAACCTCCATTCTTTGCCCACAGTGCTTTTTTCCTTCTGCTCCACCTGGAGAGCTTCTATCCATTCTTCAAAACCCAGTTCAAATGTCACTTTTCCCATGCTGCCTGTATCAGTTAGCTATGTGCTATGTGACAAACCACCCCAAACTATAATGGCTTTTAAAAACTTACTATTTCTCACTAGACTATGGTTCATCTCTGTGGTTCCACTGAACTGGGCTGAGCTTGACCGATCTCCTTACGCTGAGCTCACTCATGGGTCAGCCGGCAGGGTGGCTGGGGGCTGGCTCGTCTAAGATGGCCTCGGCCAAGGCGGCTCAGCTGTGCTCCATGTGGTCTCTCTTATGTTTCCTGGTTGTTTGTTTGTTTGTTTGTTTGTTTAAACAACACACATTTATTTCTCACAGCTTCTGGAGCTGGAAGTTTGAGGACACGGTGCCAGCATGGCTGGGCTTTGGTGAGGGTTCCCTTCCAGACTGCAGAAAGTCAGCTTCCCTCCATAGCCTCATGTGGTGGAAAGAATATAGAGAAATCTGGTCTCTCTTATCTTTAGCAGATGAGCCTGGGCTTGTTCTCATTGGCCAAGTGTGGGTGCAGGAGAGTGAGGGAAAACGGGCGAGTTCTCGCAAGTCTTTCAAGAGACAATTCAGCACTTCTGCCACATTTAATTGGCCAAATCAAGTCACAAGGCCCGTCCATATTTGAGGAGCAGGAACCTAGATACTGCAAAGTCACATTTCAAGGGGCATTCTGGATAGAAGGCAGGGGCAGAAGTGGGGCTATTTATACACTCCCTCTACCATACTACTTTCCCCTCTTTCCTCAAGCAACAGGGCTGCTCCTGGCTCAATGTTCATGCAGCGCTGCTCAGGAGCAAAACAAAGCCTGGCATGAGCACTTGGCTAAGACAAGGAGTCAACCAGAGACATTGATCGACTTGCCACAGTGCGCACAGACACAAGAGACGTGGATGGTGCTCTAAGGCTCTTCTAACAAAGAAAACTGGCAGTCTGTATGTCTTTTAAAGTTACTATATCAGTCAGGATTTGATCAGAGAAACAAAGTTATTGGGAGCGACTATATATGGTAGAGGTGTACTGTGGGGAGAAGACCCTTTCTCACCACGTAGTCGTGAGGGTTGGCTATGGAAGCCCGTTGTCCCTTTAGCTGGTGTTGGAGCCTAAAGCAGCCGGCAGACAGTTGGGATGACTGTGCGGTGGGGGGAGCAAGACACACTGGCATGTGAGCGGGGGGGGGGGGGGTTGGAACCCACCGCATGGACCAGAAGCTGCATCCACATTTTGCTGCATCTCAGCCTTCACCTTGGATGGCGCATGTGACCTACAGGAGAAGCTGGCACACTGTCAGGGAGCTAAACATACCCCTGGAACAGGAGCAACAGAAGTTGGAGGATCCAGAGAAAGCTGGAGGAGTCATGGAGCCAGGTGCCACCACGGCAAGCTAGCAGGGAAGGTCATTGTGGATGAGCTGTGACGGCTTCTGGTGGCCCCGTGCCAACCGTCCTAGTGGAAAAAGGCTACAACTGCTGTTTCACTCCTACTCTCCAGATCTTGCACAAAATGTCACTTGAGGCCCCCGCGAAGTCAGGACTGCAGGGAAGAGGATTCTGAGAAACATAGTTTCAGCTCAGCTAAAATGATAAATTCACTGCAGCTACAGATGTTAATTTGAATATTACACCCATGGAGACCAATTAGCACCAGAGGCCTTTAGAGCTCCAAGGCCACACTCCTGAGGCCCTCAGATGGGTACAGTGGTTACTCCCCCCTCCCAGAATGTACTTTGAGGTCAGCCTGCGGTAGCTGACAGGACCTCCCACCGGCTTCCTGACCTTGCAAAAAAGAGGGCCAGGTGGGACCCCTGAAATTTTCCCCTGCCAAGTTACAAACCAAAAGCGATAACACAGCCCCGGGGAAATTGCAGATTAGCGCCACCACCAAGGGTGTGAGAGATGCAAAGGCAGTGATTCCAAATGTATCCCCTTATAACTCACCTTTTTTTACAGGCGAAAAAGAAAACTCAATGATGCGGCGATGCCAATCCCAGCTGCAATTCTAGATGTGGTGTCTTTATTGGAGAAAATCAATACAAACCCCAGCAACTGGTGTGTGGCTATTGAACTAGCACATGCTTTCTCTTACATTCCCCTGAGTATGGTAAATTACACACAGTTTGCATTTACATAGAACAGGTTTTTCCATTCTCCTGCAAACTGCAAGGTCCAGAGGGACCGCTATCGTTTTGACAACACAGAGAACATTATGCTGATACATTCAATCAATGCCGTTATGCTAACTGAACTCTGAGCAGGAAACATCAAGCACCTCAGGTGCCGTAGACATAGGTGTGCCAGGGAGTCAGAGAGGAACCCTGCGGATGCTCCAGGGCCTGCCACAGTAGGAAAGTTGCTCGGGGACCGGAGGTCTGGGGAATGTCAGATATCTTCTAACGGGAGAGACGTGTTGCTGTCCCCCCACACCATGCACCATAAAGAAAGAGGAGTGATGCATGGTATGCATTTTGGGTTTTGGAGCCAAAAGCTATCACTTGTGGACAAGGTGCTTTGACTCATGTACTGGGTAAACTATAAATATGACAGTGTTAGGTCTGGATCTGAAAAAGGCTCTTCAAAAGGCTGTGATACAAGCTGCCCTACCACCTGGGCATCATGCCTGGTATATCCACGTGCCTGACTTAGGTGTCAGCCAAAGACGCCATGTGGTACCTCTGGCCAGTCCCAGTAGGAGTATCATAGTTACGACCTGTGGAGTTTTAGCCATGCCGGCCTCTGCCAACAATTCTACATTCTAAAAAGCAGCTTCTGGCTTGTCACTGGGCCTTGGTAAAGGCTGGATGCCTGATTTATGGAACGCCAAGTGATCATGGGAAGCAAACGTTCTTGATGAACTGGGTGTTCCCTGAGCCACAGAATCGTGGAACTGGGTCTGCGCCGTTGCATCCCACTGGACACCCAAGCGGTGTACGCGACCCTGGGCCCAAGTGGATGCTGGAGGCACAAACAAACCGCCCGCACAGGTGCTTCAGGGTCCCACGGAATTTGTTTCTACAGCTGCGCCTCCTCTCCCTTAGTTTACACCCAACAGCTTCAAGGGGAAGAGGAAAAGCGACAGGTCTGATTTACAGAAGGCTCTGCTCAGTAAGCCAGTGCCAGCCCCACGCCGAGGGGGCCCTGGCAGTGGGCAGTGAAGGGGGGTGAAATCCCCCCGTGGGAGAAACATTGGGCAGGACGTGTGTTAACCACTTGGTGTGAAAGCAAAAAAGGCCTGCGATGCAGACTGACATGAGCTCGTGTCTGTTTCTGATGAGCTGGCCGCTGGCAGAGACTTGGAAAAAACATGACGGGAACTCGATGGCGTGCTGGCCCAGGAGGGAGGTCTGCGGAAGGCTTCTGAAAAAGCTCGTGGAACGGGACCGTATTTGTGTCCCACGTGAACTCGCATGAGGAGGCAGTCGCGCGAGGAGTCCTCGCCGCATAAGATGACCCATCCTATCGATCTGGTCCGCCTCTTTCCGCAGGCAAGTTGGTGTTTCACGGCGGACCCCGGGGAAGGGCGAAGCCACCGGCTTTCTGTGTGTGTAGGAGATAGCTATACCCTTTGTCTAGCTTTGCCATTGACCCGATGGGTCACTTTTGACCATTCCTTCCCTTTTCTTGACCTCAGTTTCCTAATTTCACAAAGTCTCGAAGATCCTTGACTCTGAAGTGCAGCCCAGAGGGAGGCATTTGCGACTGAGGCCTGGGAGGGGGCTGCCGGTGACGTCACAGAGGGGAGAGTTCCGTGAGAAGAGTCAGGCCCTCCTAGAGCCCTGCTGCCACAGCTTCGGTGAGAAGGGCCACCCAGCCGGGGTCTGCTGGGCTTACATCTTGAGCTCTTCGCGTTCAAGATTCCTATCAGTCATGGATCAGCCTTCAACGGCCAAAAAGGCTCAAAAAGAGGCAGAGGCCAGTGACTCCGATGTGTTCTCTGACCCCGGCTCATTGTCCCCGCACCACAGGCCAGGTCACAGTGGAGTCCAGGGCCATCACAGGTCCCATCGCCATGACGTGCCCCATCACCACGGGGGACCTCACCACCACGGTGCGCTCCAGGACTTCCGTGACTGCCCCTCCCCCCGCCAGCCGCCCCCCCACCACCACACCCACCATCATGGTGGAGCGCATCACCCCACACCCCTTGCCCTGGCTGGGTCCAGGGGCGCTCTCCTCTCCCGCCGCCCCCATGCTGAGGACTTCCTCGCTGATGAACACCGCCAGGGGAGCAGGAGACCTGAGAGTAGACCCCACGCCCAGAGCGAGCCCTACCCCCAGGGGGGGCCCCACAGCCACAGTGGGCCTCACCACCAGAGTGACGTTTTCCACTACAGTGGGCTCCCACCTGAAGGTGAGCCTTACCACCATAAAGAGGCCCACAGCAACAGTGAGGTCTATGACCAGGGGGGCCCCCAGCACGGTGACGCTGACGACCGTGGCAGGCACCATCATCATCAAGGCCACCACCACCGAAGGCCTCTCCATCATGGAGAGACCCATTCCCATCACTCTTTCCACGCGGGGTCCTCCCACCAAGGCGTGCCTTGCGACCCCAGCGAGCACCACCGCAGCCACCACGGCCACCACGGAGAGCACCACCGCAGAGAGCGCCCGCACGGCGCCGGACACCACGACGCCCTCCGCAGCGAGCACTATGTGGAGTCCCGCCACGCGGGTTCCTGGGTCTTTGGCCTGCGCAGGTCCAGCAGCCCAGAAACCCTCGAGCCCCGCCGGGTGCCCACGCAGGGCGTGCTTGATGGCTTGACTGAGTCCCCCGATGCAGGGCACCCACATGCCTCCAGGGTCTCCAACAAGGTCCACCCTCAGGATTCCTGCTCTAAAACTTCAGGAAGCTGGGCTGAAGAGGAGCAGTTTCAGAAGCGCAAAAGTGAGTCTCTACCCTCCCCGCCAGCTCCCACTGCCCGACCCAGATCCCAGACTGAACCCAGGCCCTGCACCGCCCTTGCACAGGTCACGAGGCTCGACTCTTGCTGCAGGTATATTCCATTGGCTATTCACTTCACCTGACTGTTCACCATCCAATCATTCATTCCTAGAAGTAGGCACCCACTTCAGGCCTACTTCGGTTGTTTGTTCATTCAGTCGCTGCTTTATTCATTCACATGTTCATTTCTCGAACGTTCCCTCTTATCCGAGTACCTGGCCTATCTGGGCCCTGGAGGCAGAGGGAAGACTCGCCCTCCAGGGGCTTCAGAGCCAGGGGTGGTCCCTTAACCAACTGATCCCAGACCACAGAGTGATGGAGGCCTGTCCTGCATATCATAACATTTGTGGGTTCTATCTGCCCATATTTCCCACACTAAACTCTGAGCCTCTTCAGGACAGACACTGGGGAGCAGGACCTAAATAAGGGCCTTGCTTGGGGGCAAGGAGGGACCTTGGCTGTTAACGCACAACCCCCAACCTTGGCCGCTAGTTGTCACTAACCATGGCAACAATCCCACGAACAACCAGAGAGGGGTGCGCGTCTAACGGACAGGGGTAGGGAAAGCAGCCAAGAGATGATATTTCAGCAGAATCTTAAAGGGAGAGGAAGAGTTTACCCAGGGCATGGAGTGGTGTGGGTGGTTGGGTTTTCCTCTCAGAAGTTGCCTTGTGAGTAAAGAGCGGCAGGGGTGTATAAGGGCGTGAGCCCTCGAGATGCGCTCAGGCAGACCCCGGACCCCAAACAGGCCGGCATCTACCAGGGAAGGAGTCGGGCCTGAGGCTCCGGTACCAATACAGGACCAACATAGAGGCACCTTAGTGATGAATAGCAAGCAAGCAGTCAAGCGCGAAGGCAAACGGCAGCCCGGCCTGAGAGGAGGCCCGGGTCCCCATGCCCCCCCCCCACACACACACACAGACTTGACCTTCTGGCTCCCTTATAGCCATCAGAGCCCAGCGGGCTCACAGGAAGCTGCACAATTGGTTGTGGGAAAACATCTGCCACCTCTTTCATGGCCTTCGGAAGATGCTCAGGAACCTGACTGACTCCCTGGTCTTCGACGCCTTCATCTTCCTTGTTGTCTGCCTCAACACCATCATGCTTGTGGCCCAGACCTTTGCAGAAGTTGAGATCCGGGGCGGTAAGAGCCGGGAGCCCTGTTCATGGGAGAAGGCTATTGATGTTGTTCCAGGCTTCCTGCTGGCCTGATGTAGTGCCCGGTGATTCACATAACTTACCTTCTTTGATCCTTTCTCCTGGGAAGCGGATGACATTGCTGGGTATCAGAGACGAGGCTTAGAGAGAGAGCTGACGTCAGCCAGGCAGCCAGAAACGGAAAGGTCCGCTGGCCTAGAGGCTGTGTTGTTTGAGGCTACAGCCACGAGGTGGCGTGTTTGCTCTAAATATGCTGCTTTGCAAGGACCAGGGTCAGGAACCCAAGTGGGCTAGAAGGACCAGGAGATTCTGAGGAGACCCTAAAGGGGTGAGAGTGGGAAACCTGAGGAGGCGCCCCCTAAAACCCTGGGAGCAGGATGAGGGAAAGGACATAAGCTAAGGAGAGAAGAACAAAAAGAATGGCTGGTATTTCTTGCACGCTCACTGGTTCAGGCTCCATTATAAGCATTTTACGGTGTTAAATGCCTTTCATGCTCATGAAAACTCTATCAGGCAGGCTGTTACTATCACCATTTGTAGACAAGAAAACTGAGGCACAGAGCATTTAAGACACACAGCTATGTGGGCAGAGTGAGGGTCTCCTCAAATGGCCATGTGTTAAGATTCCCATGGGGAGGAGGAGAGAGGGACCAGGGTTGCCAGGGATGACCCTGAGCAAGCCCCTGCTGTCCCCACAGAGTGGTACTTTATCGCCTTTGACTCCATTTTCCTCTCCATCTACGTGGTGGAAGCTATGCTCAAGATCATTGCTATGGGCCTCGACTATTTTTGTGATGCCTGGAACAATCTGGGTGTGTAGGGATGGGGTCCGTGGCGGGGTGGGAGGGGTGGTGGGAGCCACCGAACTGCCTGAGGGAGGCTAAGGACAAAAGGGGACAGGACCAGGGGGTGCCAGCGCTGGGAGTGCTGTGGGTTATACTGAGGCACCCTGTGCGCTCAGACTTCATCATCATGATCATGGCTGTGGTGGACTTCACGCTCATGCAGTTCAACTCCCGCTCCTTCAAGCGCACCATCTACAACCAAAAAGTCTTCAGGGTCTTCAAGGTCTCCAAGAGCCTGCGGGCCCTGAGGGCCATTCGGGTCCTGCGGAGGCTCAGGTCAGTGGGGCCACAGCGGCCCGCCCCAGTGTGGGGACTCTGAAGGAAGAGGGGACACAGGCGTGGACCTGTTGCAAGGATGGGGGAGGGGAGGCTGCAGACTCCAGCCTGTTTCTGATAGGCCCCGTCAGATCATTCTCTTCGCTTTCCAGAGAAGGACTGGGGCTCTCCCAAGTCACCAGCAAGTCTTGGGTGGAGCGTCAGCTCTGGGTCCTGGGCTCAGATCCCCGCCACCACTGACTCCCGCCCTGTCAACCCCTGCCCACAGCTTCCTGACCAGCCTCCAGGAAGTGACCGGGACCCTGGTGCGGTCCTTGCCATCCATCACCGCCATCCTTGTCCTCATGTTTACCTGCCTCTGTATCCTGCGCTGGGTGGGGGGCGGGGGGCGCGGGAGCCTGACCACGGGGCCGTGCGGTGGAGGGTCGGGACCGGGGGGCAGGAGGACAGGGTGAACGGGTCCTGTGAGCCTGGTTCAGCCCTGACAGCCAGTCCTCTTCTCTGTGGTGCTCCGGGCACTGTTCCGCCAATCTGACCCCAAGCGTTTCCAGAACATCTTCACCACCATCTTCACCCTCTTCACCTTGCTCACTCTGGACGACTGGTCCGAAATCTACCTGGACAGCTGGGACCAGGGTAGGGCAGGCCCTCGGCTGGGTGGAAGGCAGGAGGCTGCCCGGGTGGGCACACCCCGAAGTGGGGCGCTGGTTACCCCGTCTCCAAAGTGGGGCTTCTGATTCTTGCCGGCCACGGAGCGGTGAGGGCCGGCAGGGAACTCACGGCTCCAACTCCCCCCTCCCCAGGGGCCTGGTACATCATCCCCATTCTCATGATTTACATCATCATCCAGTACTTCATCTTCCTCAAGTAAGGACACTGCCCCTGCTCTGCTCGCAGCTCCACCCGCCTCCCCGCCACCTCGGGCAGCCCCTTCCCAGCCCTCTCTCCCTGGCCACGCGGTGATGAACCCGGAGAAGAGTGCTGGCCTCCCCTCCAGCCTGGTCCCTGAGAGTACCCCACTGTCCCTCCCTCCTCCAGCCTCGTGATCGCCGTGCTGGTGGATAACTTCCAGATGGCGCTGCTCAGAGGCCTGGAGAAAGTGAAGCAGGAGGTACCTAGTGGGGCGGGGCAGGGAGACCAGTCAGGGAAACACGGGGCGGGGGGCACAGAGGCTGGAGGGCAGGCCAGTGGCGGCTGCTCCAGGGACAGGCAGGCCTGGGACTCTGCCGAGCCCGAGGCCTCTTCTTCGCAGAGGGCCGCCCGGATCCAGGAGCCGCTGCTGTGTGAATCGCTGACAGAGCTCGACAAAGCAGGTATCAGCGCCCCCTCCTTCTGCTCTCGGACACAGGATTCCAGGCTCGGTTTTAGAGTTTTAGAGTCCGAGGCTCAGGAGAACTTTCTTTCCTCCTTTTTTAATTTTAATTTAATTTTTTAAAAGATTTTATTTATTTTAGTTTTAGACAGAGAGGAAGGGAGGAAGAAAGAGAGGGAGAGAAACATCAATGTGTGGTTGCCTCTCGCATGCCTCCTACCCGAGACCTGGCCCGCAACCCAGGCACGTGCCCTGACTGGGAATCGAACCAACAACCCCTTGGTTCTCAGGCTGGCACTCAATCCACTGAGCCACACCAGCCAGGGCTAATTTTTAGTTTTTGAAAGATAGGGAAAGGGAGGGAGAGAAGCAAACACTGATGTGAAAAAGAAATAATTGGCTGCTTCCCCCACGAGCTTTCAAAGCTTACGACTTTGGTCCAAAAGAGAATAAGGCAATCCTTTAAAGCCAATGAAACCGAGAGTCAATTCTTGAAAGACCCATTGGTAAAATGTCTAGTTAGCCAAATTATGATTTACCAAACATTCGTTTCCATTAGTAACTTAATTTTATAGCGGTGGTTTTACATGGGATGGTTTTGGCTGTCTGAGGGTTTTGTCAAGGCCAGATATGCACTTGTCCAGAGTGCTCGCAAAAATAAAGTTCCCTGTACATATTCATATTTACACACCTAACTTTCTGGGTGAATTGATTTTGGGCTCATTACTATGTTTCCTGCTTAAAGATCTTCAGAGCCCTGGCTGGCGTGGCTCAGTGGACTGAGCAGCAGCTTGTGAACTGAAAGGTCGCCGATTCAATCTCCACTCAGGGCACAGGCCTGGGTTGAGGGCCAGGCCCCAGTTAGGGGTGTGTGAGAGGCAACCAATCGATGTATCTCTCGTACACTCTTGTTTATCTCCCCCTCTCTTTCTCCCTCCCTTCCCCTCTCTCTAAAAGTAAATAAATAAAATCTAAAAAAAAAAATATCTTCAGAACTTTAGAATCTGAGCCCCAGGGTCCCACTCTTAGGAGCATTAACACCAGAGGAATAAAGGTCCTCAGGGGTCGCCTGGGCCTTCGCCTGCCCCCTCCATCAGGGATGGACACTCAGTGCCGACGAACTGAAGCAAAAAATTAATTGGCTCAAATTGCTCTTTCGCTCCAATTGATCACCTGTCTATTTCTGAACCAATCACTGTAGCCAAAAGGATAGGCTGTTCCTATTGGCCAGGCCTGAGTCGAACACACAAAACTGCCACACACTGCGTGCCTGGAGAAGTGAGCTCTGTGGGGGCATCCTGGGCAAAAACTTGTGAGCCCCTGTTTGAATATCTCCATGGCTCATGGGGCTCCCTCCACCCCCTTTCAATCCAGGCACCTCCTTGACCCCCCTTTTTTCCACATCCAGAACCAAAAGAGGTGATGAGTGAACACACCAAACAGAAGCGCCTCATCGAGAAAAAATTTGGGACCATGACTGAGAAGTATGGAGATCCAAAAGGAGGGGAGGCCTTGGGTCTAAAGGGAGAGTTCTGGGGCGTGGCGGCGGGCCTGGCCGGGAAAGGTCCACGGCCCCCCGTGGCAGGGGGTGCAGCACTGAGGCGTGTGAAGAGCCTGTGGGTCACATGTGCAGAGCTTGGCATCTGCTCACCACGAGTCACCCTGCACCACCGATAGAGTCCCGCAGCCGCACGAAAAGGGCCATGAGGGCCCCTCCAAGGCCAGGGGCCGAGGACACAAAGAGGACACGGACGACGAGCACCTGCCCGTGAGGACCCCGCCTCTGCAGCGGTGTTGGCCTTCAGCAAAGTGGAGGGATGAGGCGGGTGGGCCAGGGAACAGCTTGGGTCACGGCTGACGGGCAATACCCCGTTTCCGCGGACTTGAGTGGTCAGCTGGGCCGGGACAGCCAGGGGCGCAGGGCTGTGCTCGAGGTGGGCACCTTGGCACGGACTCCTGCTGCCTGGCTCCCAGAGAGCACTCTCTCTGAAATCTGGGCCTCGCCCCACCTCCCCCAGACTGGCTCCAAAGCAGCAGACGGGGCCGCCTCACTCCTGCGCCCGCGGGGCTCTCGTCACCCACCGGCAGAGCCCAAGCGCCAAGGGCCCTCCGCGATCAAGCCTTTGCCAACCTTGCTTCTGTTGCTGCAGCCACTACTGCCCCATCACGCCCTTGCTTCACCCACGGTGTTTCCCAAGCAGAGCACATACTTCTCCACCTCCGGGCCTTTGCCCACACTGTGCTCTCTCCCTGGAATGGTCTGCGGTTGCTGGCACCGGGCTCAAGTGGCCAAGCGTTGGGAGAGCTGAGTTCCCATCCTGCTCGCTCCACCTCCCGGGCCTCCTGGCCTCTGTCCATGCTCCCGCTCTCCGCGCTCAGCCCCGCCTGGGCCCTCGGTGCCGCTGCCGTATTTCCCTCGGGGGCGCCTTCACCTCCAAATCCTTCCCGCTAGTCCACCTCCACCAAGGACACTCTGTGTTGTGTTCATTTGTTTGTTTAAAATTTTTTTGCTTTTTATTTATTTAGAGAGTGGTGTTTGTTAAAAGCAATTTTGGCTTTTCTCTTCTCCTCTGAGTTTGAAACCCTACAAGGTCTCCTGCCTCCCTGAGAACAAGGTCCAGGCGCCTCGCTTTGACCTTGCCTGGCATCTCTACCTCCAACCCTCCCGTCCCCTGAAACCTCCCTCACTGACGCTGGCCCCAGCCACTCAGGACATGCCCCCGCGGTCCTGGAGCAGGGAACCAGGAGGCCTGCCTGAGCCTAGCAAACACGCACATCTTCCAAACTCAGCCAAGCGGCGCTGGCTCCAGAAGCCCTTCCTGATCCTGGGTCTGCACTGGTCATAGTGTAAACACACTTGATTTACTTTTCTGGCTCCGCTACAGATGCGCTTCTCGAGGGCAGGGGATGTTTCTTGTTTATGTCTATGTTCTCCTAGCACCTTGCAGCGTAGGTTGATTTCAGTGTTATTTGATGGGTGGATCAGTAAGACAGGAAGACGGTGAAGGCGTTACTGGGTGGGTAGTAGAGTGGCTGAACAGGTGGGAATTTAGGTGGATGGCTGACTACACAGCATGGTGAAGGGGTGGGGTAGGGGTCCAGGGAAGAGAGGTGGATGGAGGGGTAGGCGAGTGAGTGAAGGCAGAGTGATCAGATGGGCAAGTGGGCAGGTGGCAGGTGAACCGGCGCACGGAGCGGGGGGGGCAGGAAGACGGTGGACGGGTAGAGGTGGAGGGTTGGGAGGCCACACAATTAATGCCCTCTGTGGTACAGGCAGACAGGGTGGCAGGGAGAGGCAAGGCCACACACAGAAAAGTTGTGGCCATGGCTAGAAGTGGAGGTCAAGGGTGATGTGAGCGTGTGGGCGCGGGCAGGAGGAGGCGCGCGAGAAGAGCCATCTGGGGGCTCTGAGGGCCTCGAAGGACCAGCCAGGCAGGTCGGCCAGGGCTCACCTCTGCCCTCTCCCCACAGGCAGCAGGAGCTAGTGTTTCATTTCCTGCAGCTGGTGGCTGGGGTGGAGCATTATCAACAGAAGTTCCGCTCCCAGGCATCCGTCATCGATGAGATCGTGGACACAGCGTTTGAGGTGAACCAGGCAGGACCAGGAGGGAGGGGCCGCGGTAGGGGGACGCTGGAAGGCCAGGCAGGAGGGACCCGTGCTCAGGAGTGGCCCCGAGGAACAGTCCCATCGGCCGCGTTTGAGAAGGCAGAGGCTGGCGGCTCAGCCACCACCCCATCCCACCCCACAGACTGGAGAAGAGGATTTCCGGAAGTGATCCCTGGACAGAGACAGCGGACACAGACTTCAGCCTCTGGCATGCTTCCTGCAGGGGCGGGTCGGGACAAACCCCGGACATGCCGGAGTGATTGTCAAGGCTGCAGGGCTGGGCCCCAACAGAGCGTTAAACCCCCAGCTGGCTCTGCGTCTTCCCTGGCTGGGCCGAGGCACGGGGCGGGAGAACTTGTGTGTGTGCACGTGTGCGTGCGTGAGTGTTGCACGCAGAAGGCACTTTTTGTGGTCCCCTCCAGCCCCAGCAGGGCCCTGTGTCCTAGCCTGGCCCAGCCGCGCCCCAGCAGCAGCCAGAGGGGTGAGCTGGAAAGTGGACCAGGCCCAGCACCCGAGGGAAGGTGAGCAGTTGTCCTGCTTCGGTGAGGGGGAGCCCTCTCTGGCCTGGGAGTCAGGAGAGAAAGAACCAGCTGGACTAGCCCCTTGTTGTCAGCGTTTAGGGGACCCATAGAATCTAGAACGGGGCCTCAGAGCCCAGGAACTCAGGCCTACCAGCACTGTCAGTATCCGTTATAAGGATGGCATGAACCCAGAGGTGCCTGAGTGCCTGGGCCTGTGCCGGGTGCTAGAGGGCAAGCCCTGAGTCAGGCACACGCCCAGCCCTGGCTCTGGGGGCTCCCATTCAGAGGAGGGGTCTTCCACTATCTACAGCAGCCACCTCACCCCTGCTAGAGTGAAGCCATCATGCCATACAGGCTGGAGGGGGACAGAAGTGGGACTCCAGAGTGGGGGCAAGCAGTTTTGCCAACCGCCCCTGTACCTCCAGGCTGGATGTGATCGTGGCGGAGGCCCTAGGCCCCAGAGCAGAAGCAGCACCTCCTCGGCACCACATCTACTTTACACCTCCCAGTCCCAGCCTCTAAGGCACATGGCCTTCAAGGCAGAGGGCAGGGCCTGGGAGCTAGGACTGTTCCACATTAGGGCCCAGCATTGGGCAGGGGACCAGGTAGCCACAGCAGGGTGTGAGGCCTTGCCTGTCAGGAGCCAGCGGGCAGGGGTGGGGGTGCTCTCCACAGCCACGGCGTTCTGCCTGCCTGGGCCTCATGGTTCCCGCACCTGCTGCTCCCAAGGTGTCCAGCCACTGCCTCTCCTGCCCCAGGCATGGGTGCTGGACGGCCCCGGATGGAGCACGGGGATCTCTGGGGTGCTGTGTTTGGGGATCGCGTATGCATCTCCAGGTGGTTTCGGGGTGGGAGTGCTTCCGGGTTGCTAGGTTGTGTTTGTGATTTTCCTGGGCATGTGTGCGGAGTCTGGGAGCATCCACGTGTATGCTTTGGGTTTCTCTGTGTGTCTGGTGTGTTAAGGAGTTCTGGGTGTGTGGAGGGGTGGGGTGGGAAGTAGGATTTGCAGATGCAAATTCAGCCCTGCAGAAAATGTTGCAACTGTTTTCCTTACACCGTGCCTACCCCTTCTTCCTCCTGTGAGCAGCAGGTGTGACCTCAGCCTCTGGGAGCTCCTTGTCCAGCCCCCTCAGGGGGTCCTGCCCAGGGCAAAGCACCAGGGAGGGCTTGCAATGGGTACTTGAGTCACTGTCTCAGCGCTCCTGGTCTCGGCCCACAGGGGCTCCGCCATCTTTGGGCCACATGTGAGTGGAGAAATCTCACAGCCTGGGAGCTCAGAGTCCTGGGGCCCTGCTGGCTGACCTCCCCAACCCCTCTGCATCCCCTTATGCCACCTGAGTCATCAGGGGGGCTGAGCGGGAGGAGCAGCACGCAGGCGCTCCCCAGAGAATTCACCAGCTCCTACCCTTTCCTCTCCAATTAAGTGCCTGTGACTTGGTCTCCCATATGTTAACTCTGAGAATATTGAGAATCAGGAGTATTGTTCCCCACATCTGTGGTACCGGGGTGCTTGAAGGACTCCAGATTTCGGGCTGAACCCTGTACCTCTCAGCAGTGGGCTGGGACAGCCGCTCGGCTGGGCCGGGGCTCGCGGGCGGAGCTGCCAGGAGTGGGAGTGGTGGGGGGAAGAGGGAGCAGTGAAGCACTCGGAAGAGACGGATGCAAGAAGCAGTGCTAGGAATTTATTGCAACAGATACGGCCCACTGACCTAAAGTGCCCTCCACCGACGGGCCCACTCCCTCCCACACCCAGGGCCGCAGGGGTCGACTGCAGGGGTCGACGGCAGGGGTGTACTACACAGGCACACAGTGGTGCTTTAGAAGTTTGGAGGTGTTCTCCCAGGGAACCACTAGGATCTCAAAGTCGCAGCGCAGCTTCTGCAGACAGAGTGTGGAGAGAGGAAGGGTGAGCCTGGGTCCAGGCCTGCCTCCTCCCAGCAGTCAGCCCGGGCCTCCAGTGTGGGACAGTCACCGGCTCAAGGGACAAGTCAGATGGCAGAGACTAGGTCCCTGGTCTCTTTGGCCAACTCTCTTACTCGATGGGGAAGCCCCAGCCTCCTGTCTGTGCGCCACCCTGACCTGGGGCTGAGTCATCCAGAAGGCAGGGAGAGGTTCAATCTGGCCTCAGTCTAGCCGGCCAGACTAGTTCAAGCTGGCCAACCCGAGGGCCCGGGGCTGGGAGCGTGGCGCGCGCCGCGCAGGGCTGTTACCTCCTCCTGTGCTCCCGCGGCCATGGGGCAGGTGGTGAGATCCATGCGGTCTCCTGCCACCGCACTCTTCCGGCAGGCTGTGCTCCCCATCTCCACGGTCAGGTAGTACTTAATGCCAGCCACCAGCTGGGACGGAGGGCAAGCACAGGTCAGAGGTGCTGGGGCTGTGCCCCGACCCAGACCCCTCGCCTCTCTCCACAGCCTCCCATTTCCCCTTCCCTTCTCCTGAGTGCATCCAGCACACTGGCCTTGGGATTCAGACCTGGGAAAGGGCCGTTCTGGCGGGGACCCCTGGGGAGAGGGGCAGAGGCCCCGGGCCAGGCAGGAGGCGGACCCAGGTGCACAAGCCATCCTGAAGCCCATGCCTCATCTCCCTCTGAAATCAACTGGGCAGGGCAAGGACTAGTGTGAAGCTAGTGAAACAGCTGTGCAAGTTTAGAGCTAGATCCCGTCTACTTCAAACTTAGGTATTTTGCTCCTTGTAAATTTTTGGCATGAATCTGAGTTTTAAAAATAGGTTGTGTTTGCCCTGGCTTGTGTGGCTCAGTGGATTGAGTGCCGATCTCCCAACCGAGAGGCCGGAGGTTGGATTCCCTGTCAGGGCCTGGGTTGTGCGCCAGGTCCCCAGTTGGGGGCGTTCGAGAGGCAACCAATCAATGTATCTCTCTCACATCAATGTTTCTCTCCCTTTCTCCCTCTCTTCCCCTCTCGCTAAAAATGAATAAAAGCTTTTTTAAAAAAACGTTGTGTTAATATATTCTGAATACTCTCTTGACTCTCCCCAACTTTGGCGCCTTCCCCGCCTCAGTCCCACCGCCCCGTCCCACTGGCCCAGCCGCACCTGGCTCTGCGCCTTGAGGATGCGTGTGTCTCGGAAGTAGTAGAGGCTGTTGCTGCCCATGTTGTAGCTGGCCACGGCCGCCTGCGCCGCCTTCTGAACCTGTGGATCGTTGGGGGCCAGGTCCCTCCGTCCTCCGACTAAGACCTCCCCCGGCCGGGCCTCGGTGTCGCGGGGCAGCGCCAGGAGGCAGAACGCCAGCAGGGCCAGGCCCAGCATCCGCGGGACGTTGGGATGCGCCATAGTCGACACTGCCAGGCTATCCTGGCCCCGCCGCTTTTAAGGACTCAGGGCTCCGAGGCCCCGCCCGACCAGACACGGCCCCGCCCCACGGCCGCTGTGCGCCCGCTGAAGACGTAGGCGAGGGCTGCACAGTCCGGTGAGGCCCCCGTCTCAGCTCCAACGGGAGAAGCCGACAGGCCCCATCACACCTGTGCGCGAGATTCTTCCCCTACCCTACAGGATACACCCCGTCCTCTGAAGGAAAGGGCAGTGGCAGGCAGTCCCCCGCAAGTGCCACCATTGGGACAGTTCACAGGGGGCCCATCCAGTCTGAAATATCAACAGCTGTGAGCAAGCTCTTATCACCCCATTTACGAACTGTACCTTGGAGAAGTTACTTAACCTCTCACTGCCTCAGTTTGCTCTCCTGTAAAACGTGGGTGCGGTGAGGATTCACTAGGTAAAGTGCCTAGAGGAGGCATGGTACCATGTTAATAGCAGGTAACCAGGGACATTGCTGTGCTGAGCTGGATGCTGTTTAACCCTCACAACTAGCATGAAATGGGAATGTACATTTCCACTTAACAGAGGAGGAAACAGGACACCGGGACAACTGATTTGCCCAAGGACCCCAGAAGGTACATAGTAAATGGTGATGCTGCCCTTTGAGCCCCAACAGTCAAACTCAAATCTTTGCTCTTAAACCAGACTGAGACCCAGAATGAGGGCTGGCCGGGAGGGGTGTGTGTCACACCAGCTCTGCCACTTCCTAACTGGGTGACTTCTGACAAGTCCCTTGAGCTTCCAGAGCCTCAGTGTCCTCATCTGAAGAAAGGGAACAACTATTCTCTTCTAAGGTTATTCTACTGATGGCCAGAGCCTGGGCCACTCATAGGGAAGCTGGGTGTGGGCTGGAAGTACCAGCAAAAATTAGTTTAAAAAAAAACCCAAACCAATGGTTTTTTGAGGGGGGTAATAATCTGGTAACACCAGCATTGAAGTAAACATGGAAGAAGTTTGTGAATTTTGTTGGGATTCTTTCCCTGTGTTTTAGCTATGAGCACAGTACTTGCTTTTAAACATGTTGCTGATGTTGCTAGAGGGAAGCGGGCCTTTTGCCCTTAGGAAACTGAGGTCTGGTCGGTGCTCAAGGTCAAGGATCTTAACTGGGGCTTGGCAGAGGTAGTGGTTTATAGTATGTGGCATTTCGTGCTTAAGTGATCATCATTACAGTTGACTCTTGAATAACAGGGGCTTGAGCTGGAGTTCACTTATGCATGGATTTTTTTTTCAATAAGGACTGTAAATGTGTTCTCTTAGGATTTTATTGATATCTTTTCTCTAGCTTACTTACGTGTAATATAGTATATAATACATGTAACATACAAAATATGTGTGAATGGACTGTTTTATGTTATTGGGAAGGCTTCTGGTCAATAGAGAGCTATTAGTTCAGGGCGGTCATCGACGTTCAAGGGTTCACCTGTACCATGATAAATGATTAAGCATCCAGCATTTCCCAGCACCAGAGTGTGGTCACTGCCTAGTTCACCAGCTACCCCACCGTCTCGGCCCAGCTGTGAAAACAATCTTGGGATTCCACGGAACTGTCACAGTTCGTTGTGGACTCAGGTGTCTGCCTTAAAGAGACAGGCTCCAGTTTGTGAGAGGGCTGGCTGGCTCGAAGTTGGCTTGGTGAGGTGGCCAAGGCCAGGCAGGGATCTGACCTGAGAGAAGCCAGGAAGGGGGACAGTAAGAGGACCAGGCCAGCAACACAGGGGAAGGAAGAGGAGGCAGCCCCAAGGGCCAGGAGCCTCCTCCAGCTTTCCCAGGTCTGCGCTCCTGTCACTTGGAGTTCAGCCACGGCCACACTTATCTCCAATTCCCTGGAAAATTGGCCAAGGCCCAGTCCCCAGCTCACGTGCCCTGCCTCACCTGCCACTCCTCTGTGCTGATGCCGATGAGTCTTTTGCACCCCAACTGGTCAATTACCAAAGACTCTTCACCTGGTTTATTCTTATAAGCAGCACGAAGTAATAAGCATCATCTTTATTTTGCAGATGAAGAAAGTTTATCAGAGAGGTCAGGACACTTGCCTAAGGTCAAATGGCTAGTATTGTCTTGGTGAGAAAAGAGGGATGGGGGAGGGGAAATGACAATCACTGAACTCTCAGTATGTGCCAGGGACTCAACGTATGTCCTCACCCTTTCAGCAGCTCTGCAGAGGCAGTGAATATTTTCTCTTTTTACAAGGCAGAAATGGCGGTCAAAGCGGAAGGGCCTGTGGCAGCGTCTGGGGTGGCACCCGAGGGCCCGCACCCTAGCGTGTTAGTCCCGACTGCTCCGCAGGAGCATGGGGCCTACTGTGCAGCGGCGCACGCCTGCAGGCAGGGCACCCCGGGAGGACTTCCCAGGGCTGGGTCTCATCTGGAGAAGAGCCCTTAGCCTGGACTCCATCCTGTTGACCCTTGAAGGAGCACTCTGGCTTCCAGAAGGAGGCCTGAGCCTGGCGTGAGCCCAAGGTTGGCCAGCTCCACTGGCCACAAGGCAGGCTCCAGTTTCACTGCAGCCCAGACCGCCCAACCCAGGTTGCTTATGGCACCACCTGCTTGGCCCTGGCCAATGGGTCTTACCGACCGGGGTGAGCACTCGACGTTCCCTTCATCCTGGGATCGGGCCACCCAGAGCCTTCATGCTGCCCCCCGAACCCTCTTTATTGAACCTTTAACCTTTATCCCTTCCCCCAGGGCTCTGTTACCCTTTCCTGTGGACCCCATCCTGGAAAGGCGACTCTGTGGCAAGGAGAGCTGTGGCCCTGCAGCGGTGCAAACTGCCCCAAGGAGGAGCTCTCCGGTGCCGGGACTTCCGCTCCTCCTGGGCTGAACCCTCGCCATCCCCTGCAGCCAAGAGGAGCCAGAGGCCCAGGGCAGCGAGGCCCCTCGTGGCAGGTCACACGGGGAGTAAAGGAGGCCCGGAGACCAGGCCTGGGCTCAGCTGGCTCTTTTAGGCTACCACCTGTCAAGGTCAGGAGTAACATGAGAGTCCTGGTCCCTGCAGGGAGGGGACAGTGTGAAAGGGGGGTTGACAGCCCGAGTACCTACTGTGAGCCTTCATACCGTCTGAGCTGCCACCAGGGGCCGATGTGTCGGGCTTGGGTCCGTCCCACAGCCTGCCCCTACTTCCTTCCCGGGGCAGCAGGGCTCCCTCAGGACCCGAGTGCATGGGCAGGATTCACCCCAAGCGCTGGGCCACATCTGAACACTCGTGACCAGACTGGCTGTGGGGGGCAAGCTCTGGCTGGGTGCAGTGGCAGCAGGGGGTGGATGGGACAATGACACTGAGTCAATGTGAGTGACTTCCAGGCCCACCTATGCCTGCCAACAAAGCGGGTCCCATTGGGCAGCATGGGCCGACATAGGTAACCTGATTTCTCCCTATCCCCACCCGGGTCTGTTTCCTCCGACACCCAGGCCTGCTGGCTGAGTTGGGGCTGGATCTCTGAGGGGCCACATTGTCACAACACACACATTAGACGCCCTTTGTCTCCTGCTGCTCCAGGATTGATCCAGGAAGCTGTGTGGGATGCACCAAGGGGCCCAGATAAAGCGTTTGGGGCTTTAGGACTGTCACAGGTATCGCCTGAGCCCTGAGGGAGAGGCGAGACAGGCGCCAGCCCTTCCAAGACAAAGCCTGTGGGTGAGACGGGGAAGGGCCCACGAAGAAGCAGAGCAAAGCAGGCAGCGCACCCCACAGTTCTGCCAGGCGGGCCCCAGTGCCAGAACCACAGGCAGCCAAACTGGGCACCCAGAGTGGGCGGGATCCCGGGGAAGGAACTGATTCCATTACCTCACCTGGCAGTTGGGGCTGAGGCAGGGGGTGGGGGGCAGCTGTGGCCCCACCAAGCACACTAGGCCTGCGTGGCAGCATCACAGTACAAGGGTCAAGGCTGAGGGGACTCTGAAGTGAACTTGGACCCATCCAGGAAAACATCAGAAACGCAGTACAGCCTGAAGCGCCTGAGACAGCCCATGTTGCCAGCTCAGTCTGGGCTTCAGGCTGGCACCCACCCAGGCAGCAGCCTGTAACACAAGCTGGGCCCTGCTGACCACCTGGTGCCCTTCCAAGGGGCCACCTGCACTTCCCAGAGCCGGCCCTGCACTAAACACTCACCCCCACTAAGAACCGCCATAGCGTCCAGCTGCTCGCCTAAGCGCTCTATCCCTGGGTCTTTATCTTTCTTTCCATTTTATATTCCTACTGTTCTGAGGTGTTAGCTAACGTAGAGGAAAGTGCACAGGACATATGTGTTGACTTGAACAATTACCACCTGCATGACCACCACACAGGTCAAGAAATGGAAACCACCACCGCCGCCACCAGGCTTCCCCGCTCCTCGCCTCCTGCCCCCAAAGGCAACCACTGCTGACTTTTGCAATAAGCCCTTCTTTTAATTTTGCCACCTATGTAGAGACCCCGGAGCAACTTTACAAGAAGGGAGCCACACTACTTCATGTTTTGAGATTCAACCCTTGTATCACAAGCTCACGTTCACTGGTATTGACAGCCATGAGTTGTTCCCATTGGGGACTGTTACAAAGCTGTTGTCAAGGCTCAGGTAGGTGCTGGAGCTGCTGTGGGAGTCCTCGGTCAGAGCCCTGAGAGCGTGGAATTGCTGGGTCACAGGATGGGCCTTCAGTTTTACTAGGAAACACCCAACTGCTTCCCCAGGGCCGCACACTCCCACCAGTTCCTGTCGCTCCATCCTCTCATCAGCCCTGGGCACCGCCCGACTCCCCAGGGGGCGGACGGAAGCATCTCCCTCGCGGTTCCGATGGCGGCTCTGGCGGCGTGCCTTTCCGCAGGCTTGTCCACCCCTTGGCTGTCCCTCTCAGGGCTGCCTCACAAGTCTCTCATCCAGTTTTCTACTGTTACTTGCTTTTCCTTCACTGCAGTTTGGTATGTGCTCTGGATGCGGCTTTGTTACTTATGTGCTGCAAATACCCTTCCCCACTCTGGGTGAGTCTTGCCCCTCACTCTGTTTATGGTGTCTTTAGTGAAAGTTTCTATTAATGTAGTTCAATTTTATCAACTTTTTTGTCCTACTTTTCCCCTACCAAGATCATGAAAACCTCTCACAATTATCCCAGTTTCTGTTTGATGTCAGTCTCTCCTTACCAGACTGTAACGCTCTGGTGACAGCACAGGGGGTAACAACTGCAATCCATCCTGACAGAAAGAACTCACATTACAGGCTTGCCTAGGACTCCTTCCTTTCTGTAAAATCTCAGAGTTGAAATTAATCTAGCCACGTCTTTAAAGAAAGAACGTACAACCGTAACATTCTTTTTCATTTCTGGTTGTGCCACTGAGTTATAACTCAGTGTGTGTCTTTACACACTGGGCTTAAGACTCATGGCGTGTTTTAATATTGCACTTCTTAAACCCAGCTATCACAACATATCACAAGCCTCTGGCACGAGGCTAGGACACAGATAGCTCGGTTAGTATCAAGTGCTGTAACATCCTTTCTTAACATCATATTCTGCAAAAGGTATTCTGTCAATTAAACGGTAACTACAATATTTGTGTAAGCATTTTACGGGCCCTTTGAGCGGTCCACTGACCGTGGCAAACACCTTGTGACTGCCTCAGGGTCAGCCCCTACCAGATGACGACAGTGGGACACCCGACCGCGTCCGCGTTTCCAAGCCCCACACCCATCCCAGGGCCCCAGTATAACCCGCCCACAAGAACCCCTTGGAAGCTCAACTTCTCTTTTCTGGCCAACTCCCTTGTGCACAAGCTTTTTTTTTTTTTTTAACATTTTTTAAAAAAATTTGTTTATTCTTAGAGAGGGGGAAAGGAGGGAGAGAAACATCAATTGGTAGCCTCTCATTCACGTCCCAACCGGTGACCTTCTGATTTTTGGGCCAATGCCCAACCAACTGAACTACGCGAGTTAGGACCACAAACTCTTTTTAATAAACTCTATCTGTTTGATCTTATACTTAGTTCAGTGCTCATTTCTATAACCATGAGACTCAAGAACCTGACATTCAAGGTCTGGTGACACTCAGGAAAATTCTGTAAGCAAGTAGTTCCTGTTGCTCTACTGAAGGACCAAAAGCCACGCAGTGTTGCGTGCTGCGCAGCTAGCATTCCATCCAACATTACAACCACCTCTTTTTCCAAGTGGGGAAACCGAGGCTCAGAGAGGCTGAGTAGCATGACCAAGGAACACAGGGCTCTCAGGTACATGTGTTTCCAAGTTGTCTTGTGGGCCACTCTGGGTACCTCCTACCAGTAAGTCCATGAACGTATTATTTATCAGTTTCTGAGCCCCTGGTTTCCTCACCTGTAAAAGAGGAAATAGTTACTCATTAATGTGGAAGAAAAAAATATTTGCAAAAAACCTTAGCTATGGGCCTGGTTCACTAAGCGTTCAACCAGAACAGGATGGAAGTGTACCAGAGAAAAGTGTAACTCACACCGTCCAGGTTGTGATACCCATGCTTTTTCTGCCTCCCCGAGAGAGCGTGGTGAGAGCCCTGCCTACTCCCTCTGGAGGCCAAGAGAGCCTATGACGAGTAGCAGGCGAACTTTTACCCATATTGGGTCCCACCCCTTCCTGGTACCTTTGACTCCCACTGAGTTTTCCACCAGGTGTTGCCTAGCCCAGCTGTTGACTCAACCGGCATCTGGAACACCACAGCGTATCTGGGTCCCAGGAAGGGGTCAACCCACACGCTCTCCCACGTTACTAAGGGATTGAGACACTGCAAGGCACCTGCCCGAGGCTTGCGTGGCAAGGGTGGCCGTCCTCTGGAGTGAGGAGGAAGCTGCCAGTTTCGATCTGCACTGATAAGGAGGGCAGCAGACCGATCAGCCCTTGAGGAAGAGGCAACTCCCAACCCAGCTGCTTTTCAACCCACGGAGCCCAGTCTTGAAGGCCACTGACTTTATTGACTCAAAAAACTTTACATGGACAGTGACTGTTCCGCCAAGAGAGAAACCAAATGGCATAAAACAGACCAGAGGTGAGGGTGGGGGTGAGGGAAGGGACCAGGAATCCACTCAGAAAAGCTGGTAGTTATTGACCTGAAACTGGAAGGGGAAGGAGAAGGCGGATGCATGCAAGAACAAGAATTCCAAAAAAGGTGAAATGGTGAGGGGAGAGAACTCCCCCAAAGACCCTGGAGAGTGCCGGAGGCGAGCAGACAGCAACTGTTTCCTTTGAGGGGACAAGGGAGGAGCCCCTACTCAGCTACAAACTCTGGAGACTCCAAGACCTGGGTTAGGGACTGGGGGCTCTGCAGAGAGCATCACAAGAAGGCGTCGCACCACTCTCGGAGGCACCCGAAGCAGTCCCGGGACTGCTTGGCGTTGGCGCCGCATGTGTCCTTTAGCCATTCCCGGAAGAGGTCTTCATCTTTCTTTAGCACCAGAAACTGGCCAAGGACCACGTAGGCCTGCAAAACAGGCAAAGTAAAGGACAAGGTGCTCAATGCTCTGAGACTCAAACAAGGAGGCCACTTCTGTGCGGTTCAAAGCGTGTGAGCCTAGGAGGCAGGGTTGGCTCTGGCTACCTCTTCACATTATATATCACCGTCCACCCCCCAAGAGGTAAACTCACTTCCCCACTCCCAAACTGCCACGCAGTATCGCAGGCGGCCACCCGTGCCCTCCCCAGCTGCACGCAGCCACCCACACCTTGTCAAAGCCCCTCTCCTCCAGCTTCTTGCCCAGGACTTCACCAATGCCGGCCAGGCTCCCCACCGGCTTCTCCCCCATGGGCTCCGCCACGAAGTCTCGGTGCTTTTGGGAGGTTGTCATCTTGATCAGGATTAACCTGGGTATCCCAAGAAAAGGCAGGTTAGGGCTGAAAACCCAGGAGCTCCCAAAGGCCCACTGGCCCAAATCTCATGTTAAGAGAAAGCTGAACCAGCCATTAGGGCGGCTCACTTCATACCCCTCATTTCACAGATAAGATAGAGGTTCAATGAGAGTTTTCCCCACTACTCGAGAGAAATTTTTTCCACTCCCTGAGGGAAGTGGATTTTGGTATTGCCCTAGAGGAAAGACTATCCTGCCCTATCAGGTGGCGCGCGCAGGGCAGTGCGAAAATTCCCAGTCAGCAGCTAGGGCTCGCCCAGAGGGTGTCACATCCTCGGTGACCTTGGCTCGCAAAAGAAGGCACTGACAGAGCCTGGAAGAGCTCCCTGGCCTGAAAAGCAAATAAAGGGTCCCTCTGTCCCGCTCGCCACACAAGCTGCTCTCAGACGCAGGCCACAGCGCGTACACCTCCGCCCAGCCCTTCCAGGTCCTCGCCACTGCTCCGCCCCGCCCCGCCCCCCTCCACGCGCCGCCGCGCCCACGCGCCGCGTCCCGCCGCCAAGCCCTCTTGGAGGGCCCATCCTTCGGCCGGCCGCAGCGGTCGCGACCCGTCTCCTCCCTTCCTCCATGCACCTCCACTGTTCTCCAGACAAGGTCCTGCTCCGTGGCTGGCACTCACCGACAGCTTCAGCTCCTGTAACGGCTCCTCCCGCCACCCGGCTACTCCCGCTAATACCTCAACCCACTAGAACTTTCTTCCACTTCCGCTTCCGGGTCGCCTCAAGAGCCGCCTAAAAAGTTAAATTTGGCACTTCTAGCCTCGTAGAGCCATAGAGATGAGGGGATCTGGCTCTCGGCCGCGACCTTAGTAGGCGCTCCTTTCCGGTCGATTCGCGAGAAGCCAGGCTCCTTTGTATAGTCTTGGTTCTCGGGCGGAATTTCGGCTTCAGGGAGCAGAGGCCTCGGTTGAGAAAACTTCATTTCCCCGCTGCACGGTATCCGGAACTCGAGGACCTAGCTTTGGCCTACCTAGCGGGGGAAGAGTTAGTGGGACGGACAAAGAGGAAGAAGTGTGGCCGGAGGCTTACCAAAGAGCGCCGGAAGTACGGCGCTCGGAAGGGTCCGACGTAGACCTGTTAGTGTTTCCCTCAGCGCGGCCGGGCATTTACGAGGCTGGCTGGAACCGAAACCTGAGTCCCCGCCGACCCACCGTTGTGGACAGCCAGCAAACTCCTTTTCTGGGCTTTCGTTAGCTCAGCTGCAAAGTGAGTCGTGAGCCAGCCGCTCCCGACTTCCAGCGTGGAGAACGGGGTCGATTAGGCAGCGCCCGCGGGGGAAGAGGGTCAGAAAGTAAGTGTGGGTCTCTCTCAGAGCGTCTTTCCTCCGGGATATGGAAGGGAGGGAAGCCAGGGAACGGCAGCTAGATATAGCACTTTGGAGTTTGTTTTGGAAACCACCAGTCTCGGTGGTGCCAGTCCTTGACATCTCAGAACCCAAGGCAGAAATACAGCAAATGCCCTAAGCCAAGCCTGCTTATCTCGCCCTTTAATGGACTCGTTCCTGGCTGGGATCGTTGCGGTGGTCTCCTAATTGGTCTCTGCCTGTGGTGTGTTGAGAGATTGCGCATCCATGTTGTGTAGCTGTGCTACCCTTGGATGTACAAGTATATTGAAGACGATGCAGTTCATTTCATCCTACCTGAGTGATTGCCAGCGTGATTTATTTAGTTTTTGTGATTACGCTAGTACTTAGAACAACACGAGTTATTTCTATGTGTCATGCACAGTGCTAAGTGCCTTGCTTACATCATCTCTTCCTAATAACAGTGTTCTGGGTTAGCTACTGTTTTTCTCAGAAGCCTAGAGAAGTTGAACAGTAAGAATTGCAACGTGAGAACAGCCAAACCTGGAGAGAATTTTTATGAGTTTATTTGAGCCAACCTGACAATATATGCCAGGGAGGAAGATCTTAAATGCTTCGGAGATTTACATTTTTGCGGTTCCTTTTATGCACTTGAAGTTGAGGGAGCTAAGAAGGGTACATGGGGGTGGGAGAAAGCAAGGCAGGGATTGGATTACAGGATAGTTAACAAGAGTATATGTTCTGCGAGGTCGGGCATGCTTTCAAGGGGTATTGCTTGGCTGCCTTAAAAACCTTTCACTGCCCTGACCAGTGTGGCTCAATTGGTTGGCATCATCCCTCAGAGCAAAGGGTTACCAGTTCAATTCCTGGTCAGGACACATGCCTGGGTTGCAGAGTCAGCCCCCAGTCAGAGCACTTACGGGAGGTAACCAGTCGATGTTTCACTCTCATGTTGATGTTTCTCTCCTTCTCTTCCCTTCCCCTTTCTCTAAAAATATGTAAGTACATAAAATCTTAAATACATAAACACACACACACAAAAACACATTTCACTAAAGAAGTTGCCTGAGGCATAATTCTATGCCATGACCTGCCCATTTAGGAACAACTTGTAAGGTTACTTTCCATAGAACCCTTTTTTTTTGTCCACAGGAAATAGTCAAGGTAGGATTTCAATGCAAGCAATTAGATTTCAGAGCCCATGTTCTTACCCAGGACGCTGTGTTACTGCTCAGTAAAAAGTCCCTCCCTGTCTTCAAAACAGTCCTGGGTTCTCACCCTGCCATCCAAGAAACTAAAGAGGAGGAGTTGACAGCCTCTGCATCCCTCACCGCCCTGGGCTAGGACCCAGCATGTCTCAGGCCACCAAAAGGAAGCACGTGGTGAAGGAGGTGCTGGGGGAGCACATGGTACCCTCTGACCAGCAGCAGATCGTGAGGGTGAGTAGCACTGGGCACAAGCTCCTGCTGGGCCCCTAGGGTAAGGGGAGGGTGCAGTGCAGCTCACTAGGTCGTTGAGCGGGCTGATGAGGCCAACTGGTTCTTGGTGTCCCGGACCAGGTACTGAGGACCCCAGGGAACAATCTGCATGAAGTAGAGACAGCCCAAGGGCAGCGCTTCCTGGTGAGCATGCCCTCCAAGTACCGCAAGAACATCTGGATCAAGAGAGGTGAGAGAGGCAGCCTCTAGGAGATAGAGCCATTTCCTGTGACCTTGGTTTTACCTCTGCAAGCTGGACTGATTCTGCTTTTTCTCCGCCTGCAGGGGACTTTCTCATTGTTGACCCTATTGAAGAGGGAGAAAAGGTAAAGGCTGAGATCTCCTTTGTCCTCTGCAAAGACCATGTGCGCTCTCTGCAGAAGGAAGGGCTCTGGTAGGTGGTCCCCTTGGTCATTGGTTGCCTGATGCCTGACTTCTGGGGGGATCGACTTCCTAGCTGTGAAATTGGGGGAGGAAAGATTATGGCATCCCAGGTAGGGACAGCTGGAGGCAGTTTTTATGCTGAAAGATTTCTCTGTTCTTTCTGACCCTCGCTTTTCTCTTGACACAGGCCTGAGGCCTTCTCTGAAGTGGCTGAGAAACACAACAACAACAGGAACAGGTTAGGATCAAGCTTTAGAGTTGAGAAGACAGAAGATAGGGCATTGGGCTTTAGTGCTTTGGCGGGGGCCGGGGGGAGGGGTGTGTGGAAAAGAGCCTCCCTTTCTTCTGGTCAGAGCTCCTACCTGTGTGTTTATATGTATGACTTGAAAGTTGGATGTTGTGGGTTAAAACCTGGGCTTTCCCACTTATAAATGGGGGGTTTTAAGCAGGTTACTTAATCTCTTAAGCCTGGATTTCCTCACCTATAGCCTCGTGAGGATTAAAGGAGCTTGTAAAATTGCTTAATATGGTATCTGGTATGCAATGTGGATACATTGCGTGTTGGTAGTAGAGTCATTATTATTAAAAGCATAAACTCTAATAAACTTTCGAGGTAGGGGGATGAGTGATCTGTAGTCTGTTCTCTTGACTGGGCAGAGCTCTGTGCTCTGACTCTGTCCCTGTCTGACTCATTGAGCCCTGACTGCTTGGCCATAGGGTCCTCTTTGTGAGGCTTCTTGGTTGCAGATCTGGCTTTCCCAGAAGGCATCGGGCTAACTCTGCCCTTTTCCCCCATGAAGGCAGGCTCAGCCCGAACTCCCCGCTGAGCCACAGTCATCAGCAGAAGAGTCCAGCTCCGAAGACGATTCTGACCTCTTTGTTAACACCAACCGCAGGCAGTATCACGAGAGTGAGGAGGAGAGCGAAGAGGAGGAGGCAGCCTGAGACCCCAGGACCGACTTCTCTTACTCACAGACTGGTCCTTGGCTCCTCTGAGCTTGGACATTCCCAGGGTGCTCTGCAGATCTTGCCTGCCCTGGATGGGGACAGTGCAGAACCCCTCTCTGAACTGACCTCTGACCTAGGAGAATTAAACCCCTGGTGGGTGGTGACATGTGCTGGTGTCCGAGTGGCTCTCTGGAGGGTGGAGGGACCTGTGGTGAAGTCAGAAATTTCTCCTTGGTGGAGGCCTCAGGGGCAAGTGGGCTGGTGGGCAGGAAACAGGGAATGGCTGGGGTCTTTTCTAAGTTCTCTCTCATTGGGCGCTTAGTGTCAGGCCCTATGCGGTCCCTCGTTGCACGTATTTTACAACCGGGGACAGTCCCGCTTTATTGCCTGCTTATAATCAGCACTGATCCAGGATCGCAGCCATGGGACCTAGTCCCAGTTACCTCTAGAAACACTCAGGGTGAATTTCATAGTGCCTCGTAAGCTGTTGGCCCTGCCCTTCTAGTTGCCTGTGGCTGCGGGAGTGCCTGCCTCCATGCAGCCGTGTGCACCCCCTGGTTGCTGGCCCCTGTGGCAACTCAGACTGTCGCTCCTCGGCCCTCTGCAAACCACATCGTCCCACCTACGGGGTTTTTTTTGTTGTTTTTTTTTTAACCTCTGACTATACGCTCTTCCCTCCTCATTGCTGGCATTGACCTTTTTTTTTTCCTCTTTGTAAAATTTTATTTATTTTTAGAGAGAAGGGAAGGGAGGGAGAAAGGTAGAGAAACATAGACGTGAGAGGGAAACATTGACCGACCCTGCAACCCAGGCATGCGTCCTGACCGGGAACTGAACCGTGACCTTTCACTTTGTGGAAGGACATCCATCCAACTGAGCCACGCCAGTCAGAGCTGGTGTTGACCTTCTAGTCACTGCTCAGACATCAAAGAGTTAATCTCCTGGCCTAGAGTCTTTCACCTCTGCCTAGTCTATTTCGTACACCCTGTGGATGGGCCCATTCAGCGCCAAACTCCTTTAGTTCCTTGATATCCCCATCACTAATGCTCTTCTATTCCATACCTGCTGCCTATATCCCTCATCCCTGGACTCCTGACAGCAATAGAAATTGCAGCACCTTTTAAATTCAAATACCTGTACAATCACCACTTCCTGGCTTTCTTGCTTACTTGCTCAACTACCACCTCTGCAAAAAATTCTTTATCTTCATCCTCCAGCCCCACCATGTTCTCACCATTATTCTCCTATCTTCACTTTCCTCCTTGTGCAACATGGATTCCATGGCCCACACCTTCCACTCCATTGTCTTCCTCCCCTTTAGTCATCTCCTGAAACCTAACCCCAGCCGACCCAGTCATTCAGCTCTGTGCCTGTAACTGTTAGAACCACCAATGGGCTCGCTGGTTTGACCTTAAAGTCATCATTATGAACTTCAAATGGACCCTCAGCACTGCCTAGCAGATCTACTCTGGGGTGTATATCAAAACTTGTCTATGCATTCCCCCTTCCCCTGCTAGTTCCACAGCTTATACTTAAGTAGTAGTAGCCAGCCCTGGCCGGTGTGGCTTTCTTGGTTGGAGCATCGTCATGTAAACTGTGAAGCTGCGGGTTCAATTCCTACTCGGGGCACATGCCTAGGTTGCAGGTTCAGTCCCCTGTTGGGGGGTGTAGGAGAGGCAACCAATTAATGTTTCTCTCCTATGTCGATGTTTCTCTTCCTCTCCAGAATCAATAAGCATGTCCTTGGGTGAGGATTAAAAAAGAGAAGAAAATAGTAGCCACGGGTGAGAACTCTCACTTCCCCCTTACCAACCCTACAAATGTGCCCATGGATCTTCCTGTCTTTTTACTTCCCATTGTAATCCAATGGGACTTCAACCTTTCCTCATGTGCCTGCTCCTCATTCACTCTCTTATGCTTGCTTATTATAGCTTTAAATATATACGTATGTGTACATACATGTTTAAAAATGTATACATACAAACCTCATGAAGTAGAGATACATAGGTGTGTGTTTTTTTAACTTGTTTGTGTTTATTTTTTATGGGAAATAGTTAATTTCTTTCATAAAGGGATGGCCACTGGTCTCTATACCATTTATTGAATGGGTCATTCTTTCCTCACTGATTTAAAACACCTTTTTAAAATAAACTACATTCCTGCATATATACGTCTCTCTTTGAAATTCCTACTCTGTCCTGTTGGTCTGTGTGCACATAACCACGTTTTATAGCATGATTGATACAGCTCCCTCATCCCTGTCCCACTGTTCCTTGAAGATTTCATATCCTTTTTACATAAAAACTTCTAGAGTGGGCTTGTCAATTTTCATTTTTATTGAGATTTTTATCAGCATGGATTTAAATCTCATGGTGTGATTTGGAGTGAAGTGCTATCTTAACACTTTTGACTCTTTAAAAAAGCTTTACTTATTTTTAGAAAAACATCAATTTGTTTTCCATTTATTGATGCATTCACTGGTTGACTCTTGTATGTGCCCTTACTGTGGATTGAACCTGCAACCTTGGCATATTGGGACCGATGCTCTAACCAACTGAGCTACCCAGTGAGGGCTCCTGAATTTTCTTATCCAAAAATGAGGTTATGTTTGTCCTTTTGTAAAGTGTTGTCTTCATATGAGTCACTAATGTTTCCAGTTCAATTTAGTCTTAGGAATCTTAAGAGTTATTTATTGTTATGAATGGGTCTTTTAAAATTACATTTCTAACCATTGCTGGTGTGTAGGAAAGCTGTCGGTCCTCCTGGGCTCACCTAATTGATCTAACTGAATTTTCTAATTCTAACTCACTCTTCAGTCGATTCTCTTTTCTTTCCGATTAAAAGCCAGGTCTTCTCCTAGAGGTAGATTCATCTGATCCTTTCTTTTTCTTGGACTATAGAGGCCAGGACCTGTAGTACAATGCTGAATGGCACCCTTGTTTGTTCCTCTGTTAGCGGGAGTGGTTCTCAGGTTTCATGAAGACATCCGAGTCTTGCTTTAGGTTTCTGGTGGGTAACCTTCATGAGGCTGAAGGTGTCTCCTGTCCTAGCTTACTGTGGGATTTTTCCTGTGTTCAGCACATCATGATGAATTTTGACATCTGTGGAGACAACCAAAAGATTTTGTTTTATTGTACCGATTTTCATCGATAGGCTTCCCACTGTGGAACTATTTTCACATGCTGATGTAAACCTTGCTTAGTTTTATATTTCCTTAGTTGGGATTTTTGTATCTTTCTCTGGGCCAATTTCACTTTTTGTTTCAACGATCTGATCTCCCTGTTGCATTTTGGTAACAGAATTATGCTAGCATGTGGAATGGGTTTAGAAACATTTCATCTTCTTCTGGCTTGAATTTCTACAAAGGAATTACTTCTTCAATGTTTGGTAAAATGTATTTATAAAAACATCTGTGCTTGGTGTCTTTTTAGGGGTGGATCTTTTGCCTTTTAACTTTCTCTGATTCAAGTTTTCTATTGAGTCAATTTTGATAATTTTTTTTTTGAGAATCATATATTTCATGTATATTTAAGGTTTGGGGGCAAAAAAAGTAATGCACAATAATTTGTATTTAGGGCTTTCGTATATTACTAATAAGTGACTAAATCTAATTGAATCAGCAATTAAATCTAATTGAAGCAAGCAAGAGCCCCGTTGGCCTGGGGTCTGAGAGCAGAGCTTTGGCCTGAGTTGAGCCAGGGCTGGCGGCGCGCCATCGGAGCTCTCCCTTGCTTGTATCTCTGCTCCTCTCAGCTGATGGTCCCTTTCTACAAGTGTTTTCCTCAGAAGTTCCCGTCTCCACTCAGTCCTTACAAAGAATTCCTTCATCAGGATTCATGTATCACAGGGAAGGCCAACTGGTTTTGCTCAGTCGCTTGCCCTCCCCTGAGCAATCGCTGTGGCCAGGGCTGAGTAGGAGGTTGGGGGGTGGGGGGAGGCAATATGAGCCCCACCTGACCCTAGTGACCTGCTTCTTATACCAGGAGAAGGGACAAGGCGCGAGAGTGAATCGAACCCGCAAGCATCTGCCCCGGTGTCTGTGTGTTTTCTTTGACTAGCTTTGCAAAATGTCTATTTTTTTTTAGCCTTTTCCTGTTTCTTTGGGTTTATTCTCTCATTTTTAGCTTCTGAGCTGTATGTGTTGACTTAATTTCAATCTCGTTTTTCAGGATACTTAGGGCTCTGAGTTTTCCTCTAAGTACTCCTTTGACTGTTGCCCACTGCATGTGATTGCTTCGACATTGTGTCTGCAGTCTTGGCCTTGCGTTTTCCTCCAGCTCTCAGTGATTCTGCTATTTACCTAATAGACTCTTTTCTCCCCTAAAACCTTTCCATCTCCACTTCTCCATCTCTCATCAGCCATTCAGCTCCTGGGGGGTTGGAGCTCAGAACCCCGGTGGAGGTAGAGACCTGTATTCTGCCTGCGGCTCCCCTTTGTCATTCCCTGAAGCTTGGTTGCCACTGTTGCCCAGCTCGGTGGTGGACTCCAGCTGTGTAAATAGATCTTCCAGAATGAGCTGAGCGTTCCACAAGCCCTTTTCCCCTCCCCAGCGCCGTGGGCAGCCCTTGTGATTGGTTGCCTGGCGGTACTGACCCCTGCTGCAGCCAGGCCTGGGACTTGTGGCCCTGCGGCCTCAGCGCCTCTCTCCCTTGAGGACCAACCGTTGCAGCCAGGCCGTTTCCGCTAGGGCTTCCCCGCGCAGCGCGGCCGCCTTCTCTTCCGCCCTGGTCATCCAGCCCCCGTCCACGAGGCGGGGCAAAAGCAGGCTTGCAGTTGTGAATATGTGAAGCCCGGTTTATTCTTGTATTATTTATTAATTGTTATCTTCCATACAAATAACAGTAAGCCTACTTTTGCCCCACCCCGTGTATGTGCCCAGGAGCACGCTAGGCAATCCTTTCATCTGCAAATGTGGTGACATATCTTGACACAGTTGCTCACATTACAACGTCCTTGCATTCCTGGAATGAGAGGGTCAGGATATGCTTCTCAGTAAATTGCTAGAATTGTTTTTGGTGTATTGGAGGATTTGGCGTCCAGGTGCACAGGGGAGGTGGCTCAAGCTCCCCCTTTCCCACACTGCCCTTACCTGGTTTCTGCGTCAGAGTCACGGCAACCTCCTAGAATGGCTTGGAGAATGTTCTCTCGCCTTTGTTTTTATGTGCTTGTAGAAGATTGGAAGTTTGCATTTCTCTCCCTTTAGGTAAAGCTTACGGTAAAACCAACTGTGCTTGGCATTTTGGAAATGGTGGATTTTTAACTCTACGTTGTTATTAATAATCGCTCGGGTTTCTGTTCTGGGATCAGTTATATTTTCAAGGAAAAATATATTCCTACTTCCTCATTTTTTTACCTATGGTTTCAAAATTGTTGGTACAAAATTTTTTGTAGAATCACCTTCCGTTCGTGATCTTGACTGTATCTAAAGTTATATCTTATTTATATCTAATATTGTTCATTTGTGGTTCCTCTCCTTTTTATCTTGTCGGGCTTGGGAGAAGTTTATTTAGTCTCTTCCAAATACCAGCTTTTTGCTGTCATTTCTCTTCACTGTGACCTTCCTTCTAGTTAATGCCCCCTCTCGTCCTGGTCCCCCTGCACTCACATACTCCCTTTGGGTTTATTCTGTGGCTTTCTGACCTT